GAAAGAGAAAGCCTTCAGTCCCTCTCCCCAGATAATCATAAAGCCATTAATTATTGTTTATCCTATTTTCCTAGCCATCCATTGGACTGCACAGGCTCAGCCTCAAGGGTTCATGTAAGGACTTGACAAAATCCTGCTTCAGAACTGTCCCCTTTGAATGCCCTAGAGTGATTTTCAGATTTGAAAATGAAGTACGTAAATTCAACAGATGCATTTCATCACGAACATCAGGAAATCACAGCATGATTTCCATAGAAACCCCTGAAAACTTCCACATCCCAACTGTCTGCTGGCAAAAGCAGCTGAGGCATCACAGCCTTGACATCAGATGAGATGAGCAGCCCATGCCAGAGGACACATTTCCTAGATTTTTACCACTACCAAAGTTCAAAAATCTCCAGAGGAGCTGAGTTCTCAATGGATGAAGTAGTCACACCCCATAATACAGGAGGGCAGAAGGATGGATGGCAAACCTTTGCTTTCACAAACACCTTGGGGAATCTTGGCATCACGATAAGAGAGAAAACTTTTAATTTTGGCAGATTTTGTCTGCAAGTTCCCCAGGCAGGAAACACAAGAGCCAACTGACAGCTACAGAGGGTTGCCAGGTTGTGTCTATCCTGGGAGTGATGTTTGCAGAGAGGTTCAATCATTCCAGCTCACAAACACACAGAAAGAGTCGGAAGAGTGAATGCATCAGAATGATGAGCTGTTGTGTGCAGGTTCTAAGAGGCTACAGGTAAAAGCATATGTGCTGTTCCCTTTAGTAAAACAGCCCAATTTAGAAAGAACATTGGAAGACATTATTAAATGTGGTGATTTGGTAGGGATCTCTTTTCTTTGGGAAGCAATGTTCTCTGACTCAGAAAAAAAAAAAAAAGATGTAAGAAGTACAAATTTAGGATCAGCTGCCCAAAGGGAAAGTTAAGATAATGCACACGTAGGAGGATGGGAAAACATGAACCATTTGGTATCAGAGACAATTATTTTCTTCTGCCTTACAAGATCATTCTCATTTCAAGGGATGGATCACTGAAGAAATTTGGGCAGGATTTAGGTGCTGAATTTAGAGGAAAGGGGCAGGGTTTAAGACACACTTTGCCTGTGATTCCTGGTGAGTGATGACTCCCAGACCAGCAGGTGGGGTTTTGAGGGGCCCTTTTCCATCTCTCGTTTGTCCCTGGTGTTTCCATAGGCTTCTGTTTCTTTCCCCTCTTGTTCATTAGCAAGCACTCCAATGCTTGAGGTTTCTACATAGCCAGTGGAGACCTTATTTCTGTCTCTGAACACTATTGGCAGTGGCCTCTCCACTGAATGGAGAACTCTGAGTGCTTCATGGTGTGTGTCCAGCTCCCCTGTCTAAGCCAACATCTCTTATGCAAGGATGAAAGTACCTTAGGTTGAAGGCACTTTAGGTAGGTCCCCAAATGAGATGTCAGGGTGGGAATGAAACATTTACAGAACACATGTGTGAATCCCCTTAGAGTGACTTCCCTCAAACACTTCTAGGGCACAATTCATCTCACCTGAAGGTAGATCTCAAAAGAAAGGACACACACTCTACAAATGCCCACATGATACTGCAAAGGGGAGATGGGAAGTCACTCAGTGCTCTGACACATACCACAGAAGCCAATGTCAATGAGACAACTCTCCTTTTGGTGCCTGACTGAAAAATCCTGCTCCTGGGCTGGCCAGCTGCTCTCCTACACCAGGGGAAACCAGCAGTGGTGTTCCACCAAACCCTTGAGAGCAGTGAGTTGGCACTCTGGGAGAAACCACAGGGTTTGCAATGGTTGGGGAAGAAGGGAAAATGCCAAGTGTTTTGTGTGGGCAGAGAGCCATTTCAAAGGTTTTCTTCCATTTATCAGAGCTTCTTATTCTTACATGAAACAACAGTTACAATAATAGCTGCTTGACAGTAGGAGGAAAAAAATTGTTAGGATAAAACCAGATTAAGTTCTTTAAAACCAGTGGTACATCATTTGATGTATTTTTACATAGAAATGAGAGCCACTGCTATAGAATTAACACCAACCTGAGAGCTGTGGGCTTAGGCAAATGGAAGGTTCTGATGAAAAGCAGAGAAGTGCTGGAGATGAGGACAGGGGGTGGAATTACTTGGGAATTACTGCATTATCCTTTGAGGAGTCTGTGCTCAGAGGATGTGTTAGACTTCTGCACCTCTGAAACATGATTTTATTATTGGTAGTGTTACAGCATTTGTAGGTTCCATCTGAGAGCTGAGAGACCTCAGTGAGGGACAAACCCCTCAGGAAGCTCACTTGGGAAGGGAGGGGTGGAAGCAAATTAAAGGAAGGGACAAGGACCCACCAATATAATACTGAAGGGCAGCAAGAGCCAGGAGAAGAGCTCCAGTTCCTGGCTGATGTTCTCTCCTTCCCTTATACCTTCACTTTCAGGTGTGGACCTCAGAGTGCTTAAAGACATTGTTTGCCCAGTTACTTTCAAAATCTACAGGCTTTGGGTCAGTGAAGTGTGTTTTAAAGACCCTGAAGCAGGTACCTACCCACATACATGGGTTTAGCACTCACAGAACATGCAGATGCAGAAGAGGTGGCAATGCTTGGTCTGCTCATGGGCTGCATGTGCTTTCAGGTCAGTTCAGCTGTTTTCAAAACACTGAAGGTGATTTAGTTCCTTTCTAAAGCCTCCTTTTGAAGCAGGCCTCTTTTCCAGCTCACTCCTGGGTCATCTACTGTCTTGAGAAGCAGTATGGGTTGGAGGAAACCCTGACTTGTGACATATGGGTCTCCTGAGCTAAGAAACACTGAGGTCTTGGACAAAAGACACTAATGAACCTTTACCTTGGGAAGAGGAATCTCAGAAGAGTTTGCCTAAATCATTCATGGTAGCTGGGAAGGGGAGGAAAATATGCAGTTTTCTTGTAGCTAGAGGTGATCACCCATAAGCTTATATAGCCTGGATTGTACATTCAGAAGATCTGTGTCATTCACAACCAGGCTAGATCATTCATGCCCTAGAAGAGCCTGTTTCTCTCTGATGACTATAAATTTGTCTTTAGGACAGGAGGAAAAGGCTCAAGTTGCACCAGGAGAGGTCTAGATTGGATATTAGACGTTGTTTCTTCATTGAAAGGGTAATTAAACAGTGGAACAGGCTGCCCAGGGAGGTGGTTGAATCACCATCCCTGGAGGTGTTTGAGAAGTGTTTAAATGTGGTGCTGAGGGGACGTGGTTTAAGCACAGGACTTGGTAGAGTTGGGGTCATGGTTTGTAGAATTAGGTTATGGTTGGACTCAATTAACTTAAAGGTCTTTTCCAACCAAGAGGATTCTGTGATTCTGTGAAATGGGGCCTGGAGGTGTCAGACTCAGCTGAAGCTGCCTGCACTGCTCCTGGGGCAGCTCGTGGGAGAGGTGAAGACACATCAAAGGCCAAATGCAGCATGACTTAAGTGCTCAAGTGCCCCTGCTAGTCCCTGGAGACCAAAGCCTTGATTCACTCACCTTAACAAAGAAACCTGGTGCTCCTGGAGATTACTAAGGGTGTCTGAAACATTCATACAAGGCTGACAGAGGTGACACCTGCCCCTGGGAGTCATTTGAACTCCAAGATCAGCAGCCAGGCAGGAGGCTTTAAATAATCTCAAGGAACACCCCAAACCTATTTTAGGGAGATGGATCCTAGGCCTCTGGGGGTTAGGAGGGTGAGCCATGGACACTTACTGCCCTGCACTCAGGTGAGATGAGTCCACCTCTAAGGCATTGTTGGTTATGAGCCACTCTGGTCCCTTGCTCTGTAGGCAGTCACAGTCTTGAACTTAAATCTTCAAGAGAAGGTACCATAAATAGTCCAGTTTTACAGATCCCTGTGCTGAAGTTCTTCAGGTCAACCATTGCTGTGCTGACTGAAGAAGTGGTCACTAAAAGTAAGTAACAAAGGCAAAAATCACCAGGTTTCACACACCCTTCTGCAGCAAGCAAGGGCTGAACTTCCCCCAACGTGCCATTTCATCTGAAGAAAAGGTACCTGAGTGCTGCTGCTTTGCTCTCTCCTCAGCATCTTCCCTTTGAAATCACACTGTCTTGTCAGCCTGCTTCTCTCCTGGGCTTCCAACCAGCTGGTCGTGTTGGAAGAATAAAGCTGAATTGCTTTGACCTTGACAAAAGTATAAATGCACAGAATGAAAGAGGGGAAAAAAGAGCCATGCTCTTCAGTTGGTAATAACTATTCATAACAGTTAAAACGAACTGAGCACTATAATTGCATTTGAAAAGAGGTATTTTTAAAAAATATAATTTCTCTCAATAGAAGTCTCAATGGAACATATCTTTTTTTAAGGTTAACATAGAAGAGAATCATTGTTTTCCTTTCCAAATAAAGAGTCTTCTTGTGCAAAACCCTGACTAGTAGAAAACACCTACAGCTGCAGGGATTATTTTATAATTAAAATTCTTTGTGTTTAGAAGGTGCAGCTTAATTGTAAAATAACCCTAACATATATACACATCTGTGGTATAGAACAACTTGAGACCCAAATTCTCACTGACTCATCCATAAAGAACCAATAATGATGAACATTTCATCCTATCCCTCCTCATGGATGTATCCCTCTTGCAGTTGTGTACAGTCTTCTTCTCTCAATCACCTACCCTTTAATGTCAGAGTTTTGACCAGGTGGCTTCTCCACTGCATCAGGGGGTAGAGTTTGTGCAAGGTGCATCCCTCACCTGCTCTATTCTCCTTTGGAACATGTCCTGGAGGTCTTTAAAAGACCTGTAGATGTGGTGCTTGGGGACGTGGTTTAGTGGTGGACTTGGCAGTGCTGGGTTTATGGTTGGACCTGATGATCTTAAAGGTCCTTTCTAACTAAAACCATTCTATGATTCTATGTGGTCCCAACATAGAGAGGTGGATGTTGGGCAAAGCCCCTTCCACAGGAGCCTTGAAGTTGACCTGTGTAACAGGTTGAAATTCCCTCCAGCTGTCTAAAGCAGTTCTGGAAATGTGGAAAGATCAGTTCCACAGGGAGACTGCCAGAAACTTTCCTACAAGCTACTGATCCCAGACTCAAAGCCCTGATGATGTGAAGATCTGAGAGGCAGCAGTTCCATTGCTGACTTCCTGAAACATCTTTTTTTCCCCTGGAGAAGTTTTATATACTCAAGTCATTGAATCATATAACTATTCTGGTTGAAGAATACCCTTGGGATCACCGAGTCCAAAAGTCATCCCTACTCTACAAAGTTCTCCCCTAAACCACATCCACCAAAAAAAAAGCCTTTCACCTTTGTAATTTTCCCATCCCACCTCATTTATCCATGTATTGCACCTTACCAGCCTGTGCCTTGTGATCTGTCTGCCTCAGGACTCTCCTTGTGCTGCTTCCCTGCACGGTGCTTGCCACCAGCACAGCTCTTATCCCACCACCACCTGATTGTGCAGAAGAAACAAACAAATCTGTGGTGTTTTTTGGAGCCCTCTCTACCCCTGTGATGCTGCAGCCACGTGTGGTGTTCCCACGTGCTTCCACATCCAAGATAAACCTGGTGGAAGTGGGTGGATAGAAGAGCTTCATGCATAGTCACAGCTCTGAAAACTCATCATGGAAACTAATGAAGACAGGAGGTGGTATTGGGTTCACTGGAACTGAGTCCCTTGAAGCAATTAGCTCCTGAGAGGAAGTACAACTGAATTTTTAATGCAGATATCTCTAATTACCATATAGAAATGAGCTCCTTTCACTGCAGACTGACCCTTATCCCTCTCTGTATCTGATTAAGAGGAAGCCTGGTAGATGGAAGTGGAACTGGGAGGTGTGACCCAGACAGCTGATAAGAAGGCTTTAGCCTAATTGCAGATGAAGTGATTAATTGAAGAATTCCATTAGGGACTGAACTACCCTTGGACTTTTGCTTGCCTGCCAAGGAGATGTCTCCAAGCCTTGTACAGGCAGATGAACATTCATCTCTTTTTCTCTGTCCTGGGAGGAGAAATTTTTGGAAGTCTGGAAGGTGGCAGAACATCCCTGAAAACTTCATATCTCCAGGGGAGAAAAGAGAGGGACCAGTGAGGCCTGGACAAGCAAGCTCAGGTCCAAGGAGCAATATGGACTCAGCACTTCCTAGGCTTATTTATCCTCCTTCATGGCTCTGTCTTTGTGGACCTGGAGCTGGGGTGCACAGCAAAGGGTTGTGTCCCCTTGCATGGATTCCAATGAAATGAGCCAAGGTCTTCTCAGGGCCCTACAAACATGTGAGCTGGGATAAGCTGCCCAGCTGGGGGCTCTTTTTTAAAAAAAATACTGGTCTGGGTAGGTCTAAGCAGTTCAGAACTATGTGGATATTGCTTTAAGGACACTGTAGGGAGCTGCTGCTTTGTCCTTTCTCCTTTGGTGGCTTCAAAGCTGATGGAGGATCCTTTCAGGGAGGCATTCAAGCTCAGAGCCTGTGGGAGACTTCCCAGTGAAACAAAATTCTCTCTCAAAATGTCTTCAGTCTAGGACTAAAGTATTTAATCTAGGTTTCCAAAAACTCTCTCTGGGGTCTTAACTTCAAGCTTTAGGTGCTGGAAGTTGTGAGTTTCCCAGCCCTGTGTTCTTGGGAACAGCCAAGAGCATTGGGCCCTCTCAACATCTAACTGACTAATGGGACCAAGCAGGAGGCCAGCTCCCCTCAGCACCTACAGGCACAGGCAATTCCAGCCCTCCAGAAGCCCTGATTATTAATTTTTTTTGTTTGTTGGTTTGCCAAGTTTCTGTTGACTTCCTTCTGAGTCAACACTGACCCCGGATAAAAATAAACACGCAACATTTCGCTTTCTCCCTGTCACCCCAACACATCACACTCACAAACACGTGCACTCCCTCTCCCTGGCAAGCATCCCGAGTTTCACATGAGCTTGGGGAAACAAGGAAGCCCTGTTTGTTTTTTCTTTCTGCCAGATTTAGCAATGGGTTACAATCTGGGATCGCTCAAACCAGTGTTCAGTTTTGAGGGCTGAGGAGCAGGTTGAAGGCATCTGCTTCAGGAAGAAGCAGCCTGAGTACCCAACAGCTTGTCTGCCTTCCCTAGGTGCACCAGTTAGTTTCAGAAAAGATATTGTATCTACTTACAGCTCTTCTCTGGCCTATGAGCTTCACTCATTACAGTTCTTCTGTGGTTCCCAGTGCTAATATTAGACAATGTTTGTCCATGAAGTACTTAGCTGTCCTAACCGAGGTTCAACTTAGTTCAGGGACCCCTTTGCAGCACCTTAAGGTCAATCCAGGGTTTGTGGGAAGCTTATTACCTGTACTTATAGGGGGTGAAAAACTCCACCTTCAAGTCCAAGCAATGTGACTTGCAGCTCAGAGCATGTTTTAAAGCTTTTTTTTTTTTTGGCCAGGGATATTTGTTCCTTTCCATTCTCACTGGCTAAAAATCACCTCTGGCTCCTGACTTTGCACTGGGAATAAGAAGGAAAAAAAGGACGGGGTGAAAAGATGCTTGGCTTGACCCCATAGTTTCTGCTTCAGCTTTGTGCATTGATCCCAAGAACCAGATCTAAGCCTGTTGCTGGAGCAGTTTTGTGTCATAGAATGGATACAGGGGAAGGAAAATCAGAGGCAGGTGGGAGTGGAAGAGGAAGGACTTTTATGTGGTTTATTACCTGACATGATGAGCAAGGTGGAAATGGCTTCAGGAAGACCCTTATCTGTGGTCTGGTAAAGGGAAAATCCTTGGGGTTTCTTACAGACTCCAGTGTTTCCAGCAAACCAGGCAGGATGCTAAGAGGCGGCTCAGAAGCATGGAAACCATGCCTGAAGCTCAGAGGCAGAGGGACAATCAAGCAGATTGAACCAAGAGCTGTGGAGCTCCAGTTAGGGAAAGCAAAGGTGCAGCTCCAAGGGATTGGGGTATGGGCCACCCAGCTGATGGTGGAGGCTTTCTCCAGTGAAGCCACAGCAGGTGAACCAAATTCTGCCTCACCATAAGGATTCTGGGTGGGATTACCTCATTGGAAGCTTTAAGAGTCTCTCCTGTGCAGCTGAATGACAGGAGTTTCCTCCAGGCACCAGGTGGGGAGTTCTGGGGACAGCTTTTATCATTGCAGGTGAGTGGCTTTTTGCCTTTCCACAGGACACCTGGAAGAGACTGGGGACCTGGGTGACACACCAGCCATTTCCCAACATCCCACCTCAAGCCTGAGTGCATTTTTTCCAGGGTGAAAACACAGATGGACACGTGTCCCTTATCAGGCACCCTAGTGTGCTGGTGTTGTGCTAAAAGTTGGGATATATTTAGAGGATGGAGAGATGAATACAAAGGCATTGTTGAGATTTCTGTGAATTATATTTGTGTTACCTCCAGGCTGTGGAATCCTGGGTGTTCAGTGGCTTGCTCTGTTAGCAGAGCAACTCCAAGCCATGTATCTCTTTTCATTTTCCTTCTCAAGGGTGTTTTCTTGCTGTCTGTAGAGTCACCCTGGATCTCACATGCAGCCAAGGACTGCCAGTGCAGGGATGTGCCCTCTAGGTCTTGCTCAGAGAGGTGACAATTCAGAGCATCTTGGATAAGAACTGGGTTTGCTAACCAGTCAGAAATGTGCTGGCAGCCATGGAAGTGAGACATATGGTCCTCCTTTCTTCCTTGTCCTCTCTAGTGTCAACTGGCTTCCCATATATATTATGAAAGATGCATTGCAATTACAAGGTCAGAGACTGACTTCTTACCAGCCTCCCTTCCTCTTCTGATGCCATGCTTTTGTTCAAGGTGCTCTGTGCTGTGAAGTGCAGGGAAGGACAGATAGAATTGTCAGTGCCATTTATTTTGGTGTGGAGTTACTCAACAGTATTGCTGCTGGAACAGTGAAATGGGGGAGAAAGCAATAGCCCAGCAGGAGATGATGAGTTGATTTTGGCTGAGTTGGTGTGAGGTATCACTTGGCTACCAGGAGCCATCACGCCCTGGGGAATGGGGAGACAAGCTTGGAAATGTTGCTTTGTTGCTGCTGACTGCTCAGCTGATTGTTTAGTTTTACAGTGTGAGGTGAACTGTCAATTGATGAAACCATCTAAAAAAAATGGCTGGAAAGAGTTATGAACAGCATAAGATTTTGTAAAGCAGTGAGATATTTTTGAGCATCCTTTTCTAGGATAGTTTGACACTCTTAGTGGGGAAACAGGCTTCTGGTCGGACAAGAGGTGGGTGAAGCTGCTGCAGGGATGAGAGAATCCATTGCACAGCTTGTCAAATGGATAGTCATAGAATCACAGGCTGGTTTGGGTTGGAAGGGACCCTAAAGATCACCTAGTCCCACCCCCTGCATGGGCAGGGACACCTCCCACCAGCCCAGGCTGCTTCAAGCCCCATCCAACCTGCCCTTCAACACTGCCAGGGATGGGGCAGCCACAGCTTCCCTGGGCAACTTGTGTCTCACCACCCTCACAGGAAAGAATTTCTTCCTAATGTTTAACCTAAACCTTCCCTCTTCCAATTCCATTACCCCTTGTCCTCTTGCTACAATCCCTTGTCCCAAGCCCCTTCCCAGCTTTCCTGGAGCCCCTTCAGGCACTGGAAGCTGCTCTAAGGTCTCCTTGGAGCCTTCTCTTCTCCAGGCTGAACACCTCAACTCTCCCAGCCTGTCTCCAGAGCAGAGCTGCTCCAGCCCTCCCATCATCTTTGTGGCCTCCTCTGGACTCTCTCCAGGAGCTCCATGTCCTCCTTCTGTTGGGGGCTCCAG